CCATACATATAATGGTAGCCGCCTGACGAAGGAATAGTCTTGAAAATTAACTACTCTGTAAAAGACAAACAGAAGAGATGTTTGGTAATCCAAGAACTGTGCCTGGTAAGAATTGGTCAGGTTTCCTTTATTCTCTTCTCCACAGATCACCTCCTCCTTCTTGTGTATCTCCTTTCCACTTACGTTGCCCATGAACTTATTAAGGAATTGACTCCACAAATACCACATTGTACGACACCTGTGTAGTAGATTATGCGTCTTTGTTCTAGCTGGTCTCTAACCTTTTTCACCTGAGACCCTAGAAGAAAGGAGCTGTTAATTTTATATTCCCATGTTCACAGTAATTCATCTACAGATTTGACTAACCAAATGAATAATGTTTGAATGCATACAAGAATACAATACCAGATGAACAAAATATTATGAGAACATGAGGTGGGAGATAAATTCTGACTGGGGGTGTGGGCAAGTTCTCATAAAACAGGAGAAATCTTGTGCCATCAAGAAAGAGAAAAAGAAAGAAAGGAAAAAAAGGGAAAGAGAGGAAGGAAGGAAGGAAGGAAGGAAGGAAGGAAGGAAGGAAGGAAGGAAGGAAGGAAGGAAGCGGAAATATGCTGGACAGAAGAGAGGCAGAAATGAATTCAGGTAGCAGAACTTCCCTCAAAATACAAAATAGGTCCCAGCAAGAGTAAAGGGGTCTGATATGGCTGATGGGCACAGGGCTTAATTCTAAGTGAACCATGTTGAGACTTGACATCTTTTGAAACATTATCCTAAACCCTTTCTGTTTGAGAATCTTTCAATGGTATCATAAGAATTTTTTTTCTTTACTCCAAAGGAAACATGTAAGGTTTTGTGCAGAGATGTGCTATTATGTTACCTTTGATTTGGGTGCATGAAAGTAATTCTGATGGGAAGAATGGATGAACACAGAGTGAGAACAAAGCTTCTGGGAAGTGGTGAGGTAACCACTGCAAGAGTAGGGGTGACAAACAGTGAACACTTGTCCTATGTTGGGGTAGAGGAGTGCAGAGGACATGAGATATTTTAGATCTAACAATGGTGTGACTTGAAACCCCTTCAATATTGACAAGGATGGAAAGAAAAATACTGGAAATCTGTGAGATATTGAGATTCATGTGAGAGAGCATGTACCTTACAATATAGAGTAGTGCTTGCCAAGGGTTCTATTGTTCATGTATATGCACATAATACATAGAATTTGAGTGAATGAATGAATGAATGAATGAATGAAAAACCTTGAAATCTACCCAATGACACATGTGCTTGGATGACATTAAGCAAATGTGACTTATGCTGCAGTCATAGGAGTGTGCCATGGATATTTAACTGCATAACACAGCCTCATCAGGCCTACTGAGTACCTCCTAAGAGTGTGGTTTACACCCCAGAAGTGGACATTTGACATCTTGCTTGGCAAAGCTTTCCTATTTTAATGGTCATGGATATTGTAGCTCATGACACTATTTTTATGTTCATTATCCTTAGATTCTTGACAAGATATTAGTAGTGTTTGAAGTAACAAATTAGTCATCTCTACTGATGGACAGGCACTAATCTTAACATTCATTCAACATAGGGATACTAGACTGTTCATAATTAATTTGTATGTACCTTTTCATAGGAAACCTATAAATGTACTTTATGTTTTTTCAACTCTATCTATAATAGTAATTTTTCAATATGCTAATGATGTATGATCAAGTTAATGTGTTAGTGTTATATTAGGATTAAAAAGTCTGATATCAGGATTTTATGTATATCTTTTCTGGAAGTTATTATGTGATGTATCTGTTATTATATAGTGCTATTTATATCGTTCAATCCACACTAAATATATACATCTATTCTTTCTTCCTTTCTTTCTTCCATTTTTCTTCTCTGCTTCCATTGATGACTCTATACTTTTGACTCCAGACTGGCAATATGAGGGTAAGATGACAAAAATAAAAATGCCAAACAACCTCATGAACATTGCTTGTCTGTCTTTGTTTTATTCTCTTTAGAACATTATTAAAATTCTATTCACTCCCTTTAATTAGACCCTTTATCACAATTAAAGTCCAATTATGTTTGTTTCTGTTGTGAAGCTTTAATTACAATTTATCCTTGTTAATCATTCCTTTATGTTATTTCTTTGGGTTAAATTACCATCCCATTATCTCTGTCCTGAAGGACTTCTGCTCTCCAGTGGTCTCTGCTGGTGTTTTCTCCGTAAGATTTGAGCAGTTTGGTGGTGTACAAAGTGAACATGTTATGATGTTGTAAGGGGTCTCTGTGGTTGTTATGAAAAAATTAATCTAAAATATTAAAAGTAATGATGCATATCAATTTGATTGTGGGATTTTTCTTTTTAAATATCAATATATATCCCAATGAATTTGATCTCAAGGTTAATGCTCGTGCAATTGTTACTTCTTACGTATGGTTGTTTTCTCTCCTTAGATTGCAAACTAGCTAGGGGAGGACCGCCAGCCACCATAGTTGCCATTGATGAAGAAAGCCGGAATGGTGAGTGAGCTTCATGTTTTACAAATGACGTGTCCAAGAGGGATTTCTTCCCCTTTCAACCCTAGATTTGTTACGTGTGGAAGTACTAAATGAAGTTAACCCAAATCCACAAATAGTGCTCCCCTAATTTCTTCTCTGTACGAGTTTAAATTGGGCCACACGCGCAAAATGCTTTACCTGGATCAAGAGACACTTCCGTGACTGGAAAGGTTGCATAGTCTCGACTGTAAAGGAGTCACTGCACCCAGTCAGTCCCAAGAGTGAATCCAGATACAGCTGGGGTATTTCTTTGTCACTAGGTAGAGTTGACTGTCACCCACACAAACATCTAGTCACCTAAATAAGACACATTGCATCCCTCCAAAAGAAGTCGACCAAAAGGTAAGCCTTCCCCTGGCAGCTTACACTGGTGGGAATCTGGTAAGGATTACCCTCCATAGCCCACTAGACATGGTGATATAGGAATGGTTATCAGGAGATCTGAAAATCCTTGGGAAGAGAGAACCTGACGAAGGTTCTGAGAGCAGAGGAAGAAGCTTGAGTGTTCGCTCAGTTGGCCTGCCATCATTAACAACTAATAGGGAATCCATACTAAGTTCTTCAAAAAGTACTTTTCCTTATCAAAACCAAAAATAAATACAGCTGGTGCTTTGTTCTATACAACACTCTCTTAGCCTTTTAAACTTCAGTGTGTTTACAGATTCTTTTCTGTTAGGTTGCAGTAAAACGGTATCTCTCAAGTCTTGGTTTCTATTTTAAACTAGTGTAAGTGTGAGAATGTGCTAGGAGGCTCAGTTTGACTACTAATTCTGTGATGGTCCTTCCATGGGGCTTGTTCGCTTTGTACTTTGTGTCTGTTGGAAGCAGTCTGTTTTCCAGATCAATAAATAGATAAATAAATAAATAAATATTCATACACACACACACACATATATAAAGGAATTATGTCAATTGGCTTATTACAGAATGACATTTTTCCTGGAATTTAACCCTACATACATTCTGAAAATTCTATAACATATGTAATACCTTCATTGTGCCGTATTAGAAGCATTCCTTTAGAGGTGCCTGGGTGGCTCAGTTGATTGAGCATCTGACTTGATTTCTGTTCAGGTCATGATCTCCTGGCTCATAGGATGAACCCTGCATTGGGCTCTGCACTGACCCCACAGAGCCTTCTTGGGATTCTCTCTTCCTCTCTCTCCACCTCTCTCTCTCTCTCTCTCTTTCTCTCTGTCTCAAAATAAATAAATAAACATTAAAATAAAACATTCCCTTACCCCTTTGAAGAGTTGGCATAATTTTTTTTTTCTTCTTTTTCCATATCCTTTGGAATTATCCAAAAATGTCCACAGCATTGCTGGTCTCCATTTAAACAAACTTAATTTTATCTATACTAAAATTTAACAACACTTAAAAATATCACAAAAATTTGTATGTTTTCATTATTTTTAAAAGTCCAGTATATATTGAGCATGAAAGCATATGAAGTTAATGAGTTATTATGATACATTTGAATTAACTGGAAGTAAATCTTAGATGTGTTTATAGAAAATAAAAAATACGTGAAAACGCTATATCAGGAAATTTTTCTTTTGCCCATGTAGAAAATTATGGTTTATGTATCATTAACTATTTTCCAAATAAAAATCTGTAATATTTCAAAATCAAATCCGTATTTTCTAAATATTCTCCAAGGAAAACAGTTGGCCTTTTAAACCAGAGACCAAAAAGAAAAAACCTGATAGAAGACCACTCTATTTTCGTTTCCCTGTGGTTCACAATTAACTTGAACTTACAAGCTGAGTTGAACTAAAACACTTAATTTTACTAAATAATTTCGTTTTAACATGTGATTCTTTACAGAGATTATTTGCCAAACAGGTGATTATAGACAGTAATGATGATGCTATTTTACCTCCCCCCTGTGTGGACTAGATCCCACTTTCAAAGGATCAGGAACTCTGGGAAGCCCTTGCCACAGAGTGCTGTATACTGCATGTGGTAGACGTTCAATATTTGTGTTCTAGAAGAATGTGACATGATTCAGTGTAGTAACGTTGTGTTCTTTAATTGGCATATTTTGTAGAAACTGCCAACTACTCAGAATGCTGCCAAAGTTACTTGAGTGTCATCACAAGCAATATAAATACTTGTCTGGAGGCTAAATGTTTGCATTTTTGTTTTACATTAAACTTCTAAAAATATGATCAAGTGAACCTCTGCCAGAGATTATAATGCGGTATGCCGTCATCTTGTCTTGAATGTCTGAAGGAAGCAGCGTATGAAAGCGTGTCCCATATTTTTCTTCAGTCTATCTAAGAAACTTCCAGTAAGACAGTTAATTCTGATCCTGCTCTTAACCTCTCTTAATTTCTCTTTCCCACCAGTTTTTAATTGGTTGTAATAAAACCTGGGGATATTTGATTTTACCAGTTTAATAAACACTCATTTTAAAGAACAAACCCTTTCTTAAGTCAAACTGGTAAGTCTATTGTGTGTCAGCTTGCCTGTGGTTTACTTTATTAATGACTACAGGTAAACAGTATCTTTTACTAAAGACCTCTTCCCACTAAAGTACAGCTTTTAGTAGCTCACTTTTTTTTTTAAGTCTATACTTAATGTTCTTATGTAAGTCGTTGAGGTCCATATATAGAATGTCTGTTATTTGTCACATGCACCTGAATCTTTCAAAACTTTTATACTGCGTAGGATGGGACTATTTCCTCGTTGTGAATATGCATTATAATTGCATTTTCACAAATGTGTATGTATGAAAGATAAAAACTGTGATAGGTAAAGATCCATAAGCTTCTTTGTAACCCTGGGCTCTGTCAGATTCTTCCCCTCTTTGATCATTGTTCTCAACAGAATATTGATAACAGATTCTTCATATAACTCTCGACCTGAACCAGGATAACTATAGAAAAACAGAGGTTATGCTTTAAGGACACAATGTCAACACATAAATGGACACGTGCTGGCCCCTGACAACCATGAGAAAAGCCTTGAGGTGATGGGTATGGCATGTTTAATGTGCAGTTACATTTAGAAGGGAGAATGCATATGGAGAAACAGACTTAGGACATATTCTCTTATTTAATAAAATAAGAATATCTAAAAATTCTTTCTGGAAAACTTTTGTCCCCACAAAAGCCTACACATGGATGTTTATAGCAACTTTATCTCTAATTTCTAAAACTTGGAAGCAAACAAGATGTCCTTCAGTAAGTGAGTGGATAAACTGTGCTACATTCAGACAAATGTAGGGATAAAAATAAAGAGCTGATGAGCCAAGAAAGGCATGGAAAAACCTATTCTTGTTTTTTTTTTTTTAATTCCATTATAATTAACCAATTATATTAGTTTCAGGTGGATAATGTACCAATTTAGCTGTGCTATACATTACCCAGTACTTATCAAAATAAGTGTGTTCTTAATACCCATCACCTCTTTCACCCGTTTGCCCACCCACCTCCTCTCCGGTAACTATTGGTTTGTTCTCCGTAGTTAAGAGTCTGTTTTTTGGCTTATTTTGTTTGTTTGTTTGGGCAGTATAGACATTTTAACATTTTTTTCCCATTCTATGAACATGGAACATATTTCCATTTGTTTGTGTTGTCCTCAGTTTCTTTCATCAGTGTTTTACAGTTTCAGAGTATAGGTCTTTCATCTCCTTGGATAAGTTTATCCCTAGATATTTTATTATTTTTGATGCAATTGTAAATGGGATTGTTTTCTTACTTCCTCTTTCTACTACTTCATTATTAGGGTATAGAAATGTAATGGACTTTTGTATGTTGATTTGGCATCCCACAACTTTACTGAACTCACTTATCAGTTCTCAATTTTTGGTGGAGTCTTTAGTGTTTTCTATAAATATTATGTCATATACAAATAGTGAAAGTTTTTTTTTTCCTTCCTTACCAATTTTAATGCCTTTTATTCCTTTTTCTTGCCTGATTGTTATGGCTAGGACTTCTAGTACTATGTTGAAAAAAAAGTGGTGAGAGTGGGCATCCTTGTTTTGTTCCTGATCTTAGAGGGAAAGCTTTCAGTTTTCACCACTGAGTATGATGTTAGCTGTAGGTTATCCAATTGTTGGTATATATTTTTTTCATAATATTCTCAAAGTCCTTTGTATTTCTATGATGTCAGTTATGTCTCCTTTTTCATTTCTGATTTTGTTTATTTGAGCTGTCTCTCTCTCTCTCTCTCTCTCTCTTTTAATGAGTCTGGCTAAAGGTTTATTAATTTTGTTATTTTCAAAGAACCAGGTCCTGGTTTGATTGATCTGTTCTATTGTTGTTTTGTTTGATAGTTTGTTTAGTTTCGATTTTATTTTTGCTTTAATCCTTACTATTTCCTTCCTTCTACTAGTTTGAGTTTCATTCATCCTTCTTTTTTTAGTTCCTTTATGTGTAAGGTTAGGCTGTTATTTGAAATTGATTTTGCTTCTTGAGGTGGACACATATTGCTCTACATTTTCCTCTTGAATAGCTTTTGCTGCATCCCAAATATTTCAGACCATTATGTTTTCATTTCCTCTGTCTCCCTGTATTTTTTTTTTAATTTTCTCCTTGAGTTCTTGGTTGACCCATTCATTGTTAAATAGCATGTTATTTAACCTCTATGTATTTGTGTTCTTTCCAAATTTTTTCTATAGTTGATTTCTAGTTTCATATTTAGTCAGAAAAGATGCATAATATGACTTTGATCTTTTTGAATTTGTTGAGCCTTGTTTTGTGGCCTAACATGTGGTATATTCTGGATAATTTTCCATGTGCACTTGAAAAGAATGTGTAGGATGGAGTGTTTGGAATATATTTGTGAGATCCGTCTAATCCAATATGTCATTCAAAGAGACTGTTTCAAAAAAGGAAGGAAGGAAGGAAGGAAGGAAGGAAGGAAGGAAGGAAGGAAGATAGAAAAAAGATACTGTTTCTTTGTTGATTTTCTGTTTGGATGATCTACCCATTGCTCTCTTATTGGGAGCATAA